ACTACAATATTTGGCTATGTCTTGGCTACTTTAATATTATTTTTGTTAAATTTTTGAGTGTTTTAGCTGGCAACACTGGCTCGACCATTGAAGGGAGGCCAGTATTTAAACAAGACTTAATTTTCTAATTATGAGTGGTTGTTTGTTTTGTGAGCAATAAAATAATTTAAAAATAATTTTTAATGATACAATAGTGACGATTATAATTTTTTAAAAAATTGTTAGGCTTAACATCAATGAAAATTAAACGTGAAGTTGGTTAATAGCGATATATTAATACACTATACTAATAATGTATTTTTTTCATGCTTTTCGGTTATCCAATTTTTTCAGTTATCCGACCAACCTGAGTCCCCAATTGAGTCAGATAATCGATGCTCTACTGTATATAAATAGATATCTCTACCACTCGATTCCTATACTGTTCTGTTACATTTACAATTATAACTATCAAGATTGCAACAAAATGCCACACTGTCAGATTTCAACATCGACAGGACTGAACGAGAGAGAGTTTACATTTAAGTTAAACATACTACTATTAATTCATCTTAAAAGATTTCATGGTTGATGATAGAATTTCTAACACCCTCAAATTTCTTGCAGATACATAGATGATTTTGAACCTTTCACGATGTTCTGTGACTTTTCTAGTTTCTTTTTCTTTTGACCTTCTTGCTCTCAGTTTTCTTCTTGGGCATCTCTTCTTTTAACCAAGAAACTCATACAATTAGAACTGAAGATTCTGCTCTTCTGACTCATGATGAAGATAATGGAAAGTCAGCATATGAGTTGTGTGAACTCTCTCACTAAAACTACAGGGTTTGTCTGAAAAGTAATGTCAGAGAGTCAATTAGAAGATATTTATTGATCTGATCGGTACAATACATTAAAAGATTTCAAAATAGGGGTCTCCTGCATTGATATATCACTTCCAGCGAGACTTCCAGGCATCAAAGGCGTCATGGTAGGCCTTTTCCCAAATGTTCTTTAGAGCCTTGGTACAAGCCTCTTTGACTTTGTCAACTGTCCCAAAATGATGTCCTTTCATGGGAGTTTTCAAACGCAGGAACAGCAAGTCGGGAGGAGCCACATCAGGACTGTGGGCAGCTGGGGAACCATTGGCACCTTTGAATCAGCCAGGAAGTGGGTCATGAGGAAGGTGGTGTGGGCAGGCATGTTGTCATGGTGAAGTTTCCAATCATCCACGATGAACCCTTTGTTTGAGTCTCTTGAGCACTTCCATGTAGAATTTGGCATTGACAGTTACACTATGTGGTACAATTCATGGTAGATGAGCCCTGATGTCAAAAAACACAATGAGCATTGTCTTGATCTTTGACTTGCTCATTCTGGCCTTCTTGGGGCGAGGGGACACTGAGGTGTGCCATCAGCACTTTGCCTTTTTGTTTCGGGGTTGTACTCAAAGACCAACACTCATCACCTGTGATGACATTGTCTAAAAGTGGGGGTCACTTTCACACAAGTCCTAATGTTCCTGACACGTTTCAACTCGGTGCAATTTTTGGTCATCCGTTAACACTTTGGGCACCAGCTTCATGCACACTTCTCATCTGCAGATTTCTCATCACAATCTCGTGAATGGTACTTTTTGGAATATTTAATGTGTGTGCCATTAAATGAACACTCAAATGACAGTCTGAGTTCAAGAGTTCAGTCACACGCGTCACATTTCATTAGTGCTGGTTGTTGATTGGCCTTCCAACACAGTTTCATCACTGACCTCTTCATGGCCTTCAACAAATGCCTTGTGCCACCTGTAGACTTGGCATTCCAATAAACAATCATCATCAAAGTTCATCTTTATCATGGGAAAAGTTTCCACTGTGGACTTGCCGAGTTTTACACAAAACTTGATGGCAATCCTTTGCTCAATCGAGCATTGCATCGCAGCTTGCATGGGAGACAAAAACAAGGTTCACAAAAATGTCCTTACTCTCTGGATGGTCGGAGTTGATTGAGCAATCATGCATGCGAAACCTGACTCCTCCTTCCACCAATTCCCACTGCTCCAAGTGCACTGTGACGTGTATTTGCTTGACAGTAAAATCACTGACATTACTTTTTGGACAAACCCTGTATCTTATCTGAAAGAAATGGTGTTATCATACATTTATTAAAACAAAAAAGAAAGGTTTCTCTTTGAGCATCATGTGGTTTACAAAAAAATAATTATTCAAAAAAATATCAAATAAATGTAACAAAAATTTTGTTAGAAAAGTAAATTATGCACTGGATTCTTGCATCATGCATCTTTTGCAAAAATGCTGAGAATGCAGAATACCATATTCCTGCAACACATGAATCACCTCATCCTCAGTCTTTGACTTCATTGTTTTCAATTTACCTTTCTTCACAAAAGCCAACTTCATCAAATGCACTTAAGTGATAATCCAATTTGCATGCTAGCATGAAACACGCTTATTATTGACAGGTGCAATGAAATACAGTGGAACCCCGGTTAACAACCAAATCGGTTAACGAACTTTTATTTTGCAAAAAATTTGTCTCGGATAACGAACAAAATTCGGATAACGAACGTAACGGTATTTTGTGTCAAATTTTAGTTGGTGTTAGGCATGCGCGAGTTAAGCATTGCTTTTCCGAGTGTTTGTGCTATGCTTCTTTTTTCAGTTTTGTGATTTATATATTTAATCAATATGGCATCCAAGAAAGAAAAAAGTCATAGTGGCAATAGAAAATGACAACGCAATATAAACGACAATGCGCTATCGCATTTGAGAAAAATTTTGATTAAAATAGTAAGACAAATCAACTTTAGATCAAGTTCTTGTTCCTTATGGAAACAGTTTGTTTGTTTGTTTGTTAAGTTATGGCAACGCAACACTTGGGCGATCTGCTTAGGGGAATGCCTTCTGGGAAGTGTTTTTAAGGGAAACTGGCCCCTATTTAAGCGTTACAGACGTGGAGAAAACCCGGAAAACTCCACATGGCCAGCCCATCTGAGCGAGGTGTGAACCCACGAACGAACTGTTTAAGATACTAAGACCACTTAGCCGCTGGTGGGTTTTTTACCGAAAGAGACTTCGACTCGAAGAATCTTCTAATGAAGTGCTACCCGTTATTTTTTGGAGGGGATTCCCCTTCTAACCATTAAGGTTCGTATATCTCCACTTTTCTGCCACCACCTACAACAAACGAAGGTATGTACAGTGCTAGTTTAAACAAAGTTTACATGTTTGTTGCTGTAATGATACATACTATGTTTTCTTACATTTTCATCAAAGGAAATTACTGTATATTACAAATAAAATCGCAAAAATTTCGGAGACTAGAACGGATTAATTGCATTTGCATTAATTTCTATGGGAAAAATTGCTTCGGTTAACGAACGGAGTCGCAGAACGGATTAAGTTCGTTAACCGGGGTTCCACTGTACCATATTTTTATCAATAGTAATTTACATGAGAATAATAAGTACTGTAATATTGATACGTAAGCCAGAATATTCCATGAAATTTAATCATTGTATTAAGTTTTAATATTTTAAATAACTAAATAGTTGAAGACAGAAAGATACAGCTCATTTTATAAATCTTGATCAAGCTGTAAAAATGAGCAGTGGCAGGGACCAGCCTATTTATTTAAAGAAGGGAATAGATTGTTTGTTGAATATATGACAAGGTCACTATACATTACTGAAAAGGGACTGTTTGTTGAACTTTATAAACTTCAAGACTTCTAACTGAATATCACATATTGCCTGGCCAATATATATGAAAAAATTCTATAATAATCTTATTGGGTGATTAAAAGCTGTCCTGTAGCCAGGAATAAATCATTAGGGGCTAGAGCAGTGGTTTCAACCTTTCTGAGGCCACGAACACATTCATATACTTCTTATTACACGGAGCATCAATACATTCAAAAATTGATAAGCAATTCCATGTTTACTATTCTCAGGAAACAATGAAGCAAGAAATTAATAAACTTTAATATATTGAATAAAATAGAAACATGGAATTATCTACAAGTATAGCAATGAGAATAAATTTGAATAAAAACTTTAAAATCTTTTGTTTTGTGGAACACACTAGGTAGGTTTGTGGAACACTGGTTAAGAACCACTGGGCTAGAGGGACAAGCTGATAACATTGTAACTGGTATTTTTCTCCTTTCTAGCCAGCACTAGGCCTATTATCTACAGTCTAAGTGTAACAAAAGTAATAATAATAACCTAAGTTTTTGTGATGAAAGCAAAAGCTTATATAAACTGCTTATGGGCACTGCCAACTAAGCTGGAGGACCTTAGTCACCTCATAGCCTTCTGTAGCTATCTGTAGCTGTAAAAATATTTAATATACATATATGAAAGTAATATGTAAATAAAAATTTACAGGTATGGTATCATTCAAATTGTTCCAGTAAAGGTCGGAATTGTTGGAATACTAGACTAACTGATGAAGGAGGCTGTTGCATTTGGTATAATGAGCCTCAGTATCTGGCTGATATTGAAGAACATTTGAACTGCACTATTCAACAAATAGATGTTGATCTTAAAGTCCCATTGGATGAATTTGATGGAAAAGTCACTTATGGTGAAAAACGAAAACAAGTTGGTGAGTAAAATTGATTTTTTGTTTTACTATGAGACAGATAAATAATAACTTAGTCATTTGTTTTTAGGGAGTTTATTTGAAACTCACACAGCTCAAATGGCTCCAACAGTCAAAGATCTGGCAGCCTTGGAGAAGCAAGCTCAGTCCATATATTTAACTAGATATATTATTAAAGATCAACCAGCTTTACGATGAAATTATTATTATATTTTATTATTAAATATCTTCAATGTTAAAATAAAACTGAAATTTTCTTGTTTACAATTATATGTATGAAAACTTATTATATTAATTTCATTAAAATAAAGATTTATTTTGAGTTGATTGTAATAAATACAAGTGATTTATCACATTTAAGCTTATAATTTTTGAATTATTAAGTAAACAATTTTAAAATGTCTATGAATTCATGACACACTCTTATTTATGGAAAACTTCACCAGAAATGTTAGAACCAGGTTTTCAAAAAAATTATATTTGAGAGTAGACAATCATTGTATTAGTACCTGCGAGCATTTTAAATCTTTCCTTTATTGTTGAGTGGCACACACTCCTCAGTAGTGGGAGCAGTGTGCCACTCAACAATAAAGAAAAGGTCTAAAGAACAATCTCATACAATAGTCAGTTGCATCTATCAGGTCAGTCCATAAGTTCGTGTGCATTTTTATCTACAAAAAAAGCAACAAAAAATTTTAACTAAATTTTATTTCAATCTATAATGTATTCACAATTATTTTGTACAATTTCTTGCCATCTTGATGGTAGCTTTTTAATCCCGTCTTTGTAAAATGATTTCGGGTTTGAATCAAAATATTCAGAAATAGCCTTTTTTACATTGTTCTCATCCTCAAAAGTTTTTCCTTTTAAAAAATTCTGCAAACTCCGAAAAAGATGATAATCACTGGGAGCAATATCTGGCAAATATGGTGGATGAGGTAAAATTTCCCAGTTGAAGCTTTTGAGTTGAGCAGTTGACGTTGTTGTCAGTTAGCTATTGACAGTTCATGTGGTATCCATTTTCCTAGCTTTGAAACTTTTCCGATTTGTTGTAGATGTCTATGAACAGTTCCATGGGATGAATTTAAACGTTCCGCAATTTCATCAACTGTTAAAGATGGTTCTGCTTCAACTAGTGCAGAGAGAGCATCATCATCAAAGTCAACGGGTCTTCCAGTACGAGCCTTATCCTCCACACTAAAATCATTATTTCTAAATCTTTCAAACCACTTCTGCGCAGTCTTTACACTTATTACAGTTTGATTATGAACAGTATTTAATTTTTTTGGCTGCATTTGTAGCATTCTCATCACTTAAAAATAAAAAGTATAAAACATGTCTCTTATATTCATCTGTTACTTCCATTTTAACGAAAATAAACAACTGAAATGTTCCCAATTCTGAACTTATTATATGAATGAGATCCAATTTAACACTTCAGTGTAAAAAGTATCACATTAGACTGGCATTTTTAACAGCAAAACAAGATTTTTCTCAAGGTCAAAAAATGTGCATGAACTTATGGACTGACCTGATACTTGGTACTGATTTTCATAGCAAATCACTAAGTTTAGGAAATCCTGTACCATCGTGTGTTTCTTTCATGGAAGGGCTTCAAACTGTCATTTTCCACCAAGATGATGCTCATTCACACACAACTTGGTTTTCTTAAAAATGTCTATCATGTTGTCACACTTTCTTGGCTTGCTCATCTCCAGATTTGCATGCATCAAGCATTTGTGGGACCAGAAGAGATGCAGGACACACAAGTGTGAGGTAGACATATGTGGGTAAATCTGTTATAGGATAGCATAAGGTTCCTATATGTCTCCATATCTGGCCGTATTGCTGCATGTATCCAGGCAAGAGGAAGTTCTATAAGATACTAAAGGTTCTTTTAAATTGTAGCATTGGTCCTCAGGAAATTGCTAAAACATTGTAATCACTTGTTACCATCATTATGTTAGCATTAATAAGGTTTCATTTAATTCCAACACCACCTTCAGATATTCAATAATCCATAAAATCTGATAAATTGCTGAGTTATTAAATGAAAATTTTTAATATTAATACAGGTATCCCCTGATTAACATGGTTAATTAATCCCTGGATGCTATCGTTGAAAAAGTCTTAATGCAATATGCAGTTATTGTATGCAAATCAGTACTCTGACCAAAAAACTAGCAAAGGATGTATCCAAGAAATTAATCAAACTAAGAAGTTAAGGTAATTATTTGAAGGATTGCATCCAGTCTTGAATATCTAACGATTTTCCGTCCTGAGGTGTACTGAATTTATTAAATTTTGAGTTTTAACCCTCAATTAACACACAGCAATCTGAGATCATTAAGGAACTTAATTTTTCTATAACTTTATCTATAGAGAAAACCAGCCATCCCTCTAACTTTAAATGAACTTACTATCTATCAGTTTAAAAGCAATGCTCCTGATAATCTAAGTCTTTGTTTTATTCCAGATTGTTTTCTTGAACGGTCGAGATGGTTGCCTGTAAGAAATGTTAATGGATTTTTCAACTTACATGCCAAAGCTGTGTACACAGCAAAGATGTGTAGTCAAAATTCAGTTATAATCATAAATCAAATAACAAAAGAAATAAAGTTCATTTCTTAGTTTACTAATTATTACCATCTTTCAAATTGAATAAGTCTTTTTAATTACAAATGTTGCAGTCCTTAATGCAAATTAAACTAAGCAGTCTGTGAGACTGTGTTACTTAAAAGAAAAACCTATCTTAATTAAGGATTGGGAAATATGGATTTTGTACAAATTCAAAAATCATTGACTGATGGGATGTACCAAGTTATGCACTGTACATACAAACTTGGTACTTTAATTATATTAAATGGCTATGAATAATTTATTTGTAACATTGTGCTATATCACAAGAATCACACTGTATAATCATGGGAAAAAGCCAGAACTCCTCATGGAGGACTCATAAGTATACATATTTTCCAACTCTTAAAGCACAAAATTTAATGTACAATACCTCAGAACAGTAAAACGGTACCCATATTCAAGGCAAGAAGTAATATTTCAAATAGGGGTTTTAGCTTACAGAAGTTTTATTTCTTGAATACTCGCTTGATAAATAATACAAAATTAAAACGTTGTGTGGTGTTCATTGTGGGCAGTAGCTGGGGATGCCAGACGTCTTTCACTTCAAAGGGCAGTTTTATTTTAATTAAACTGTCCTGTCCTTTTCATCTTTCAATGCCTGTGTTTCAATCCATATCCTTCCCCATAGAAAGCTATGGTTTACATTTCAAATTCTAAATTAAACTAAAATTTGCAAATATTTATAGTCAACATGAAAATTTATTTTTAAATCAATTGTTTATATTTTAAATAATTTTACTTTTTGGGGTGAAACAAGTGGAGTGATGAAAGTTGTTGAATGGCAGCATTAACCATTTTTAAGTGTCCTTTAATCCAGTCGTAGAAATCTGGCACCATAACAGTAGTAGATCCAGGGGAAAATTGAGTGATCGAAGTTTTTTTATTGCTAAAACAAGCTTTACTTTTTATTATTACTTTTCAACTTTTACACTTTTATACTTTCATTCACTATGTTGTTTGTGTACTTTAATTATTAAGCAATATAGTTAAAAATTTTATTATACAAATTAAAAACTGTACTCTCAGAGATTTATTTCTGGACTCGCCACTGTATGGGGTCCCTACACAGAGTTGAATTAGTCATTTTATTATGTTAGGATGACACCAATCGATTTTTATTACCGTGGAGAATCGACGATATCAATTTGCTATCACGTCTAACTTCGGTATTGCGGTAACATCCAACCTCACATATACTGTATGTAGCCTGTAACTTATTTAAATAAGATTTTTTACTATTTTAATATATAATTTTAATGTATGATATATATTTGTAGTAATTATAAGACCTATCATTTATTCATTTCTAAAAATAATTTGAAATTTTGTTAGAGGGGGGAAATACCCACCAGATTTTAATCATAGCCTAACAGATGGCGCAACAACGTGTTTGATTTTAGAAATGAGCTCGAGATAAAATAATTTTAATTTTCAAATTTATTTCCTTTCAAATTAATTTATTATTTGTTTATCAAAAGTGATTTTAATAATCAAAAAATATCAAATACATTGTTAAATTGCGAAGGAACGATCCCATAAAGTATTTCATGCAGTTCATCTATCCTTCACATCCCCTTGTATCTTTTCCATCAGAAATGCTTCAACAAATTTATTTTTTCAGTTGGAATTGATATATCGTCCATTGTGCTGTATCAAAGTCACGTTCTTTTATTTCGTTACGCAAATAACCTATATCGGAATTCAGCATAGTTTTGTATGACATCGGGATTAATTTACTAACATATTAATGAGAGAAATTTATTGGGTAGAAAATTGAATCGTTATAAAGATGATAATTAATTTGTCGTACATTTAATAGTTTTTCGGAGATTATTTGTTCTGTGAATAAGATTAACACGAATTAAAAATTGTAGTCATTGGACAGAAAATTTGATGTTTAAAAATCAAATTTTCTGACGAGTTTCGTTACTATATATAAAATTAAAGACAATTTATTTCACCCAAACTTGAGGAAATGTATATCTTTCGTCGACTTGTTTGGAAAAGTTCCAGGTAAGTTCCGAAGTGGGATTGATTTATGGAGAGTTGATATTGTTGGAATAGAATGTCCGAGAGGTGACGTTTCTGACACATCCTTCACTGGAAAACAACAGAGTCACTAAAGCACAAGCCATTGTTTCTCTAACGCTAGCTCATTAACTCTAACTGCCTGATCACAACAATCTGCTCTCTGCTTCTTTTAACAATCGATGTGGAGATGAAAGCTGGAAAGACACTACTGAAGACAAATCCGCTTACAGAAATGATGGGAAAAACAAATACGTACGTAAAATGTATTTTCTATCTGATTATGTTTTTATATGCTCATTATAAAATGTTATAAATTGTTAAAAATATCGCAAACAAATTTTCTTAAAGAGGGCAATAAAAGGTAATTGAATAGAATTTCCCATCTCTGTACGAAACATTTGTTAACTACAGATATTTTTTTTTCTTAAGATTCAGAAAAACACACTAATTATATTATCATCACGAACTTTTATTAAACATCAATAAACAATAAATGATAGTGATTAAGCGACAATATACATTAGAACGTTTCATAAATTTATATAATGGCATTTATGTCATAATACATAAATTCTGAATATCTAAAACAAAATTACGAATTAGTTTTCTTCGAATTGTGCAGAAAACTATACCATTAGATTTTATAGACGTTAAGCTTAAAATCATTGTATTATTTTATATTGAAAATGAATATGCCATTTCTATCCTTCCATAAAATGCAGTGTAACCTATGTAATTTGTACAATGCAAATAGTGTGTAGACCGGAAAAACATAATAGCATTTCGTACTTCAATTAATTTTTATTCTCGACATGTAATTTTCGTTCTTTCCAACTACACTGAGTAAATGCGCATCTTAATTGTTATCAAATGGTTCCGACCGTTCTCGTTCGGAATAGAAACTTTTTTTTTTCGTATGATCTCTTGGATCCTTTTTAAGTAAATAAAAAATAAAACAAATAATGAGAAACGCGTCGGGAACGCAGAAATGTTCTCGAGGAACAAAACAACTTTTGTTTCCTAGATGGCGTTCTTTCATTTGGCACCCGAGCAGTAGAATTCCTAACTCTACATCGTAGAAAAAATAATAAGTCCAGCAATACAACAGTCCTATCTATACTTTCCCGATTTAGATTGCGAGTCATTTAACGTGAGTAATTACAGATTATTTTTACTCGACAAGAAAAAATATTACAGAACTTTTTTCATGTCTGCACGATGGTAACACGTTCTACTGGTGGTGCATTTCAAAACGATTTCGATCGACGTGTATTATGACCACACAGGCTTTCTGCTATCGATTGTTGTAGTCTAACATAAATATGTACGTATGAGTGTCGGGCAGAACACACTAATATTTTGAATTATTTCAAAAATAAAAGTTTTTAGTGTGAACAAATAAATTTTTGTTTTTCCGAAGTGCCATCTTATACTGAAAATTGAGAATTTCCATAATTTCGCGTCTTCCCCCAAGCGCTTTTGGTCCTATGAAATGATGTAATAATATCTTACACTAAACTAAACTAAAAACCTATTTATATTGTCAGTTTTAGTGTTTAATATACAGATGAGATTCGTATACGGTAATTCTAAATGAGATCTATAAATATAAAAGTAAATTTGAAAATGAGCAATCTTCAATTCTTAAAAACTTTTTTAAGTTCGGAAGTTTTTAAATCTCGGACAGATCTTCGGTTCCGACAGACTTCTCTGCTGTTGATGACGACTCTTCGGCTACACACGATGACGTGTCTTTTTCCTCCTGCAAAAAAAAAAAAAATGTTAATTTTATCACCAAGATTAATATTAAATTAGTGCAAAATTAATTAGAAGGCTCTATTTTATCTGCATAATACAACTGAATAACGTAATATATAGCCTATATGAATACATTTCATTCCAAAATTGTTCCTCTGTATTCAATGAACTTTTATTCAGCCATATTTAAATTATATACTCTAAATTCATTTAACATGTTTATTATATTTGATAAGTTTTGTAACTTTATGGTATTGTTATTGGCAATTATATTTCCACACTACACAGTGTATGTATATGTAAAGGAATAAGTAGCGAAAACGCCACACAGCCAATCGCAAATAAAGAGTGTTTCATCTACGACGTAATCTACATTCCGCCAATTAGGTAATTCTAACATGGCACTCTGGCAACCAAAAGTGCCGCCATTTTTTCTTGTTTCCACGATTTAAGTTAGTCATAATCTTGAGAGTAGTTTAATACAGGTATTTATTAATTACTTTCGTGCTTATAGTTGCTTCAGATGAAAATGATTTCTATTTCAGACGCTGATAATGGCGGCATATATAGAACCACATCATAAAGGGGCCATATACTTTATGTAAAAAGAAAGTAAAATTTTACATTCCGTAAATTTTTATTAAAATATTTGAATTCCAAATATCTGTCTTGCGCAGTGTAATTTTACATTATTCTTTGTTTTATAAACAGGGCTGTCCATAAATTACGTAGCGAAGATATGGATGGCTGGGGATTGCAGGTAAACTTTACGATGCGTTCGTTATAAGAGGATAGAGTTGTTTACAAAACCGTTACATACCCAAGGGTCGAGACCCGAGCATTAAAAGAATGGTCCGTTTTTGTTTTCGAAGAATTGCATAGTAAACCGTGCTGCTGTTATTCTTTAGTACAATTAAGAGGATTAATCGAGGATACGCGTTCCGTAACTGGTATGAGTATGTACAGTACAGTACGTTACAAGACTAGGATGTTGCCGAAAGTATAAAAATTGCGTTACATAATTTATGGACGATCCCAGAGTCGAATAGACTTGGGACGAGAAAGTTTGATCTTAAAAAAAATGCACAAATAAATAGACGTAAACGTATTCCAGTTGAATTTTTAAAAAAACAATTGTTTCTTATTTGTAAATTTTGTTAAACAATTGAAAGGGGATTAAAATATTTAAATTTCAGTATTATGATGATATTGCATTCAATTTTCAACGTATTATTTAACTTTACAAAGGGAGGTGTGTCTTAGTTTGTTTACAGTAGCTGCCAAGTTAGGATAAATAGACTATAAGTTTGCAATATTACAAATGTCAAAGCGATTAAGGTTGATTGTAACCTCTTTAGTTATTCGCGTAATCCCAAGCAGATGGCATTAAAAATAATGCGTTTGGTTTTTTGCGTTAAATACTGCTTCAGATTTCGAGAATAATTTTTGGGAAAGTATTTTTCCATGGTGCTAAAATTTATTTCTTTTTCTATCTGCCGGAGATCTCTTGCATAAACCCAAGATCTTAGAATCAGCCTTAAGGCGTCTAATCCAGGCGATGCCAAGCATTAGCCAATAGAGTTTCCATCATGGTAGTCTTTGACCCAAGTTGTGTTCAGTTCTTTTCAAATTAAAAGTTACAAAATGTACTTTTCAAATTAATTACTGTACATCGTAAGGGGCCAAATGTTGGCTCGCTCGGGAACAACCTTTTTGAAATTTCAAGTAATAGATCTCCACCGTGGCTTACGATCTGAATCAGAAATAACACTAAATTTATTACAAGTAGATAGCTCTTGTATTTTGTTTTTTCTGCAATGAAATATAGTCTAAACACACTAAAATAAGGAACAGACACTGAGGTACTATACCACTGGGTGATTATAATTAAAGGTGTTCATAGCTCTCTGTAGAAAGAACTATTGGATCTAAGCTAAATTTGGGACATATGCGGTTTTGATTTTCGGGAAAAATTTCAATTCAAAGCTCTGCATCTAGAGCGAAATGTGGCGCTGCTGTCTCCATAATATGCATGTTACGTATGTACTGTACGTTTTCTAACGAGTTTCGGGAGTTAAGGTAACAGCAATGTAAAATTTCGCCCGAGTGGCTGAATTTTAAATAAAATTATTCTCGAAAATCAAAATCGCATATTCGAGACAGTAAGCATACCAAATTTGGTTGAGATTTACTCAATAGTTCCTTCTGTGTAACTCCAAGACCTACTCTTTAATTATGATCAACGTTCAGCTAGTATATACTGTATAACTAGCTGCGTGTGCCCGGCATTGCACGGGCTTTTGAGGGGATGAATAATGAAGGGTTGACGATTGGTAAAATCTTAGGTCAATAAATGTACATTTTAATTACTGAGTATTTACAATAATGAAGCTGTAACACACAAAAAATTGCTCGGGCTTAAGAAGGGTGAACTACACAGTATTTCTAGTGTCAAAGAATATCCGCACTAAACGGTATAGAAAACTTTACCTAGAACATATACATATTTTGACTTATTTTTTACGGACAAATCTATATATATATTTCTATTGTAAGTCGAATTTGATATTCAAGTATGAAATATGACTTGAAAAACAACCGACTATACTTTCGAAAATACATATGTAGTATATATGTTTATATACCTATAACAAATAAAATATTCAGATGACATTTCGATAATAGTAAATATATTAAATATTGACATACTGTTGATGTCCAAACAAAAACTGTTAGCATATTGAATATAAATAAATTGTTAACATAGTGAATACGAATAATCTTACAACAAGAATAGTGTGCGCACATTATTTTTTATTCAAATTATTTTACTATATTATTTATTAGAACTTCTAATATCAAAATATCTTCAGTGAGCAAGCTTCTTTAACGTATTATTTCGCTTTTAACTTGCAGAATTTTTATCTAATGAAAACAAGATACTTTCATATATTTGATATATTTCAGATATATTGAACAGTATTCAAAACAAGGTATATTTATGCTCGAAATGTATATTGCCTAATATTAATCCGTCCAATTAATTTAATGATTTTTCAGGTATCAATTGGTAATTATTAAGTCCTTAGTTCAACCGATAAGTAACAGTATTTACTGTTGCGAATTATTCCAACAATAAACATTATTTTCGCCTATTTATATTTAATCACAATTGCAACTTATAAGTCGGTTAATTAATCCTTTCTTCGCATTTTTTTGAATGTGACCCAATTAACACTTAACATCCTCATTTTTTAAACCATCTAATTAATAGTATTATTTCATTTATTTGATTTTATCTAATTATTAAACTGATTAAAATGAAGTTGGCATTAAAAATAAATTAAGTTTTGAATAATTTTACAGTACATGTACATAAAATATTTAATTGTATAATTTTGTGGGGAAAAACAAAGTATGCTAAATTAGAATATGAAAAAGGTAAATATATAAATTTTAAACTTTGTTAACAAAACAAAATGCCAATATATTATCAATTCAGATATTTTTACAAATTGCACAATAGAATAAGCATCTGATTAACTTAGTTTATGACTAGAGGTAATCATCCACTACTCATTTACATTTTTATGGATAGGACCCTCTTTGGTTAAATAGTTTTATACAACAATGGCGAATTTTCCATTAGGTCCGGGCCTAGGGCGCAAAAATTCAAAATAATAATAACGAATAACAATGAAAAAAATAATTTTATGTAGAAACAATTCATAAAAGGAATCAGTGCAAATTAAAAGCTTAAGTAAATATAAAATAAGACATCAGTTTAGTTTTAATTCAGCAATAATTGTAAACAGTGTCACCGAATGATTCTATTAGTTTAGAGGTGCCATGTTTCTAAATGAACCATTGATATTCAAATTATAGGAAAAATATAAAAAATGTTATTAGACATTTAACAATTATAAGAAAATATTTCGGACCCAACTAAGAAATTAAAATTACTACTACTACTATTATTATTATAAAATAATAATTCATTTAATTTAAAATATATGTTCTCTACCTCAAATTAGTATCTTGCCCCTGTACATCACACTTTTCCTGTCAGAATAATCATGCCGGTCATCTATCTCAGTGGTGCGCAAACCGTGGGTCGCGACCCCTCTGGGTTCGCGAGAAAATTTTTCGGGGTCGCCAAATTCAAAGAAATTCATTTGACAATAAAAAATATAAAGCTTTTCTTCAATAAATATCAGGTACCAGTAAAATAGTGAAATGAAATTATATTACAGTAGAGCGTCGATTTTCCGAATCAATTGGGGACTGGGGTTGTCCGGATAACTGATTTACGTACGAAAAAATAGTTTAACGTATCCGATGTCGAAATTTTTCTCCGTTGCGTATCGCTTCGCGTTGAATTTTCGTCGATGTTAAGCCTAACAAAGACTATTGTATCGTTAAAAATTTTTTTATTTTGTACGAACAAAATAAATATATTGAAAAATATAAAAATAATAAAAAATTATACTTCAGATGTTAATTTAGTATCAAAAACGTAAAATATTTGAGTAGCCCAAGACAACATAGCCA